GTTCAAAGTCACTCAAATCACCTTTCTTCCCCATACTGATGCTCGCTTTGAACTGCAGGAGATTGTCTTGACCATGTCTACATGCTTAAATGCACTGAGTTGGCGCCATGTGATTGGCTGCTTAGAAATTAAGTGCTAACGAGCAGTTGGACAGGTGTACCTAATAAAGTGGCCGTGAGTGTATGTCTCACTGTATAATTTAATTTCTACTTAAATTTATTTGTTTATTGTATTTTTGGTGGCAATTAATTGTATGCCTATTTATTTACTGAGCATTTATTTATTTCTATATTTATTTTTAAATATGGCAGAGTTGGTCCTCCATATATGTGAAGTTGGTGGATGTAAATCCAGCTCTTCAGAAGTTAATCCTGTATTCCTTTTAACAGGCTTATGCTAATGCTAACATAGTTTAAACATGAGCTGTAGCAGATAGATAAATGTCATCATTATTGCTAATGCCAAGTTAGCATGAGTGGTTGAAGGTAGATGGCTATTATGAATATTGCTATTCCTTATTTAGCATAAGTGATAGATGGATATTATCAATATTGCTAATACTGAATTAGCATGAGCACGAGTGGTAAAAGATAGATGGATATTTTCCTTATTTTTAATTCTAAGTTAGCATGAGCATAAGCATAAGAAACCAGCTGGCAAACAGTATGGAATGAGAGCAGGTGCAACCACCTGGCCAGGATTAGTTAAACTCAGCTCACATTTAAAAATTCCCCAACAAATTACGGACGAGTAAAGGTATCTTTAAATGAGTCGGCCAGTTGGCAAGTTGTCTTTTTCATGTTATATCTTAATATGAATTGCAAAGTTAAATTTTTTACTTGAAATGGCTAAGTTTTTGTTCCTTTTTTTTGTGTCATCCAGCCGGCCTACCTGGTCCTGCTATCATAGCACTGGTAATCCTTTGGCTGTTGCTCGCCGGCATCATGCGGGCAGTCTGCCTCCGGGCTTGCGGAGTAAGGAGATGGGGCTACCTGTCACTCTAAGGACCAGTTGATTTTATTTCTTAAAGAAGTGACCTTCTGGATAAGGGAGTGGAGAGTCTTGGGTAAAAAAAAACATCTGTGAGGCGCCTCCTGCCACATTTAACTCATGTTGCAGTTTTTCTAAAGTTTGCCATTAATAATGTTTAAACCATACCTATAAACCCTAATATGAATACAGAGGTTAAAAAAACTGACACGGTAATTAAAGAAACTGACTAAAATGATAATTATTACATTTACTTCAGCATTACTCTTTCAGTGAAATCATCAGGGTACGGATTATTCTTTCATTTTCATTGAAAAGGTTTGAGCAGCAGGTTCTACAGAGATTTACCTGCCTGACCTCTTAAATCGTTTGTGATTTTTTTTTTTTTTTTTTTTTTTACCACTTTCTGTTTGTAATCATCTGTCACATAGAAGATTAGAGGGTTGCTTAACATATACGATGTAGTAATCAACTCAAATTGGGAACTAAGGGGATTATTTTAACATGAAATGCACTGATTGCTGTTTATTTGTCTTCCTTTGACTACATGTTTTTAACTGTCCTAAATCAGCGATTAATTTGAAAGAGCAAATCCAGCTCTGTGTATGTCTGTTTCTTTTAAAGTAGTGATTCATAAAGTGAAAAAAAATGTTTTCAGAGATGACTCAAAGTTAGTGATGGAGATCAGACCACACTGTAACGATGCCGCATGTTGTTTAAAGTGTGAAGTTGTGAAGAACTGAGACAAACACAAAATCTTGCAAGGATAGACTGAGATTTATTTTTACGTCTGCACACAGAGAAGCAACACATCCAGTAGAACTGTCACTGAGGTTCTTAAAATCAGTCAGTGGAATGTTAAAGGGATCAATGGTCCAGTAAAAAGGGGTAGAGTTTTTTCCCATTTGAAACATCTTAAAACGGAAATTGCTTTTTTACAGGAGACGCATTTGATCGCTAAGGATCACCATAGGTTGAAGGCTTCATAGGTTGGCCAAAGTTTCCATTCCAATTTTAGTAGCAAAGCAAGGGTTACAGCGATTTTGATACATAAAAAAATACAGCTTTACCCAACAAACCATCAAGGCCGGTTTGTTATAGTCTCAGGCCCTTTCATTAATGTACCTGTTGTTCTTGTTAATCTCTATGCACCCAATTGGGACGATGAGGCATTTATTAGGAAAGTAATCTCACTTTTACCAGATTTAACTTCCCACCACTTAATCTGAGGAGGGGACCTTAACTGTACTATAAATCCTTTGCTAGACAAATCCCCACGACAGGATTCTCCTTCTAAAGTTGCTAAAGCAATTTCAACGTTTATGGATCAAATAGGAGGTTTGGATCCATGGCGCTTTATCTATCCTGATAAAAAAACTATTTTCTTTTTACTCTCATGTCCACAAAACATTCTCAAGAATTGATTACTTTTACATTGATAATAAGTGCTACTCGACCTTTCATTTTCACTTCAAAAGACACGCCCCCCATGGAGGCTGAATTGCACATTGCTTAACAAGGATGACTTTTGCTAAACAATCTCCAAAGTAATCGATGATTTTCTTATCTCCAACAAGTCTGATCTCATATCCCCATCTCTACTGTGGGAGACATTAAAGGTGGTAGTCTGAGGAGAGATTATTTCCTATTCTGCAAGAGTAAATAAACTCAAAAAACAAAAACAGGAACAACTCATGGAAAGCATAACAGAATTGGACAGAAAATTATCAACATCTGAATTAGAGACAAACCCTTCAAATGGAATATAACTTGCTGTCAACACAAGAAACTG